ATCGGATATCCATGAACACACACATTTTGTTATATACGTTGAATCTTTATTTTTGTCTTCTATATTTATATGGTTGTGTTTATGTAAGTAAATTATGGTATGTTGTTGTTTCGGTTCGACCTTCACAAAGTAATCCGTAAGTTGTAAATGTATATTATGTAGTGTTGTGTTTGTGATTAGCTGAAACTAAATTATTTCATTTAATTATTTTTACAGTGCTTGGTTTTATATTTAGAAAACTTTTTGTGTAGAAAAATTCCTTTAAAATATAGTACAATAAACTGTGAGCGATTCGGTAAGTTTTGGAATAAATTGAATTTTACACTATTTTTTTAATGAGTTTTTAATAAATTTATAAAAGTTATCTCTTGGCTAACTTTAAAGATATATTTTTTCAATTATGCGAATAATAGATGAGAACCTGAAATTGCTTAAATACTTTTGTTATTCATGAGCCATAACTATTTTGCCACATCATAATCTAGTATCATTAAATGTGGCATGTCGCCAAAACGAGGTCGTATGTTGAAGCGAGAAAGAGAAAAATATACCTCCTCTGCAATTAAAGCAAAAATAGAAAAAGAGGGAACTCGGCCGCAGGTAATTAGGCTTGCTTTTCTATGAGAACGGCACACGTAGCAAGTTTAACGGTACACTTGGGGCCGAGAAAATGTATACAAAGATATAAATAAATTAATACCTTTTGGCGGGTTTTTTGTCAGTTTACGGTTTTTTTTGCAAAGTATTAACGTTTTACTTTTTTTTAGCGGCATGTTATAGAAATATATTAAAGTGAAGTCGTCTTAATCTGTCTACTGGCGATAATACCTTTTTTTAACCATAAGGTACTTGGAAATACTACCTAGCTACTTATCAGTAGTATTTTTGGGCGCTTTGCAATATCGTATATATTCGCAATATCTATGATACTTTTTATATTATAAACAGTTAAAAAAATTGATACAATTTGCGAGTCTCAAAAGAAAAATTCAATAAATTTATTTATTAAAATTGCTTAGCCATTATTTGAAATGGCCAGCGTGGTATAGTAGGCCAAAACCTCCTTTCTAAGGAGAGGCTTATGTCCAGCAGTAGACTATTAAAGGCTGTTGATGATGATGATGATGATTATTTGAAATGTATTATAAGTAGTCAAATATAAGATGTCTATCAAAATGTATTCGATATTCTTACAGGGACCATAATTGCACCATTCAATTTTATATATAACTAGATACCTTTTAATGACGTCACACTTATAGATCAAAGATCCTAATAAATCTATCTATCTACTGAGTACAATATAGTTTTTAATTTACTACTCCAGTGAGCGTCAGAGTCACGATCTCGTGTGAATATGTTAGAGCATGTGGCCACGTTAAACCTATTATCTGTCCGTGTTACAGCGAAGCATGTTGTCAGGTGGCCAGCAATTACACGTATAGGAAGACAGCTAACTAAATCCTCTTGCATGTTGTAGCTGTAAGCATGTTATGCGGAAATTAATCACTAGATATTTGCGTTTGATGTTAATAGTGTATCAATTACTAAATTTAGTACTTTGTGAGTAGTTGTGTATAAAATGCTTTTGTAATCTTAAGTAATTTGAAAAAGAATAAGTTGATACTAATAAATAAATTTATGTTATAGCATTTAATTATTTGTATGTTTTGAGGTTTGATTTAAATATATATTATTTTATTTCCTGATCATTGTTAATAAATATTTCAAGCGTTTTCCAAAAAATACGTATAATTAAAGCTAGAGCCATGCCTATTCATGGCCTGAAGTGTGAATGAAAGATTTTCCCTTATCTCACCCGTAGTCGCGGTAACGATGCGAAAGTTTTACTTCTAGAGACGCTCGTTACAGCTCCATGGACATTTGTTACGAACACTTTTTTTTTTCTTTTAACGAATTTCCCTAGACACACTTTTGTGTATACTTTGCTCAACTTGTAATAGTTCGGACGATTAACAAGCTCAACTCGTGACGATTTACTAGAAGCGGATTACCTTTAAGTGTGTCCGAACTATTTTGGTCGGGTGTGTAATATGATTTTTCGAGTAATCGGTTTATGGTAGTTATGAGTTTGTAAGCTTATTTTCTGAGTTACCTGCTGGTCTACTTCTTTAGTAGGAGCGGTTAAATATTGCAAATAATTGAAACTTTTTCAAAGGGTATGCATACCTTTAGCCGGCTATTATGACAAATTATCCAAAGAGGTTTCATAACATTGAATTTATGTATGTTTGTGTATCTTATCTTTGAAGCAGTAATCTTTGTTATTTGAGTGTATGAAAATCGATTGAGCAGTTAAGGCTTGAAAACATTACAAACAAACAAACTCACTATTCAGTTTTTAATATCAAGTAAAGAATGATAAACGTTTGTAACTGAACACCTTTACCGCTTAATGTTTGTTGTATGTGTATAACCCATTCTCAGTTCTGAGTTCAATTGTTCAACTTGTCTACTAGCGCACTCTCCACATTACAACATAAACTAATACACACACACTCTCACTCTAGCAGTTCGCAAAATTAAATGTCGGAAGTGGCGAGCGCTCATACTGAACACTACCCCGAGCAAAATACTCCAACTTTTAATTGAACATGACGGTGATATGCTAATATTGAGGACTTGTCGGGCCGTTGGAACTGCTTTGTAATGTGTTTAAGTACACTTTATATAAAAAATGTTTAATGTCAAAATGTACGTTTCATACTCTAGGAATACAAGCCATTTTGGACTTGTATTTCGAGTCAATGTGGTAACTGTAGAATGGAGTAAAAAATTTGGATTATCTTATTTTTAATACGTTTATACGATAAATATTAGCTGCAACTTTTTTTTTTCTGTGCTTGAATCCCCTCGGATACCACCCACCGGTGGTTATGTCGGAATCGAACCGACTAAAAACCGCACGCCGTCTCGGGTACCAGTAGCCGGGGAACTAGGTGTACCCTAGAAAGGAAATCCCTGGTACCCCGACGTACCTCGGGCCATCTACGGCGGGTAGATGACCCCCTCCGGTGTGGGAACCTCTATGTTCCTTTGGTGTTCCCAAAACAGCAGGCAGTGTTCCCAAGGCAGCGCGTCTCGCCGCCACCCTGGCCTGCTTCTGCTAGGGTGAGAGATAGCTCACCTGTCACCCCCAGGCTGGAATATTAGCTTCACCTGGAACTAAGATACTAACTGAATAAATCTATGATAAAAATCTTGCAAGCTAATTTTGAGTCTTTTCAAATTGTTTTACCTATTGAAATCATATTTCAGCATAAATGGGCAAGGCTCAACCGGACTGATACCAGGGCATCTCAAAAAACCGGTCTTAAGCAGTTGCTTCGTTGCTTTTTACCGAGAGAGAGAGAGAGTGAGGTTACCGGAACTCAACCTCCCCCTCCCTGATTCCCAAGTTGTAGGTGCCCATGGGCTATAAGCCCACTTACAATAAGGTGACCTGTCTGCTTGTTTATCTCATCATATCATGAAAAACAAACACGAAATTAAAGTCTGTACATATGATGATGGAACCTGGAGATGATAAGTCATGGAAGGACCTTTTAACTCTTCAGTAGCTTCTAATAAACCTCTTAAGTTTGGACTTGTATGTTTCGTACAGCTGATATTGTTCACAAACTAAATATTGGATATACATATATAGGATATCTATCCAAATAAATAATATTGAAGTGTCTGTTTGTAATGTCATGTGTTTTTTTTTTCATGCTCACACGGTTATTTGCACGATAGCTATGCCTAAAAACAAGTTTAATTTTTTTGTCTGTCTGTCTGTTTGTTACGGGTAATCTTCTAAACGGCTGGACCAATTTTGATAATATTTTACTACCAGGTAGCTGTCTATATAACGAGTAACTTAGTCTATTTTTCCTTTCAAAAAAACCCTGTAGAATTCTGCCCTATACGGGAATCAATCCCGAGACCTCTTGGACTGCAGTCGCGTACCGTACTACACCACTAAATAAGCGATTTTCAAATTCCACACGAACAAAGTCGCTGGTACCAGAATGTTGTAAATAACCTATTGACCCTTTGGAGGATTTCTAGATGATAAGCGATAAATTAATCATCGATGTACTTCATAATATATATATGTAAGATACACCCACACATATATGTAACAAATACACACACATACACACATTCCCCGACTAATTACCAGTCCGCAGTCAGAGACACGCGGCGCTGAATTAAATGTCCTTCATAAACTAATAAATAGGGACATGTAGGCATTAGTGAACTAATATAAAACTGTCTATTTGATTAAGAAAAATCCTATGTTAATATACAACGGTACAGAATAATGGAACAAGAGATAATGGACAGGCAGCTTTAAAGAGGAATCTGTTTTGAACAATTCAGTAGACGAAATCACAAATTACGTTTATCTCATCAGATGAAGGTAATTTCTTCAGTGTTCTAACATTTTAATTCCTTTTGATTGGATACCAAATGGTGAACTATTTGGAAAATAGGAATTGTGTACCGCCTGTTACGCATACCAATAGTTTCCATAGAATTAAATAAATCTTTAAGGACTGAACTGCGTTACTACAAACATAAGCATTACTAGTATTATCCAGTCTACGGCTTACATGGTTGGTCGACGTGACGTCTGTAGCGGACTCACGATTTGTACGTTTCCCAATGGTGTCGACACAATCGTATTTATAACTATAAATTATGATCATCTTTATTGGTTGTTTTTTCTTTTAAAACGAAGAGGTCCTTATATTTTAACATAGAACAAATATTTTTTGTGGTTTTATTAACAAGATTCAAAGATTTGATTGATACGAGCCAGAGTGAGTTATATTATAATTTATGTCTTCTGAAGTGAACGAAAGTTTTGTAAACAACAAAAATTACTATGTTTAGTAATAAATAATTTATTTTTAATTAAACGAATCCAGTTTTTTATAAAATATGTTTAACATGGTACCAAATCATAAAGATAGTTTAATAAATACAAATCTATGATATTAAATAACGGTTACACTTTGAAGTATACACTTCTCAGTTCTAACTTCACAGAAAACCACTATAGGGTTAGTTACTCATACGACTGACTGGCCCTTTGAAGGATTTCTAGATGAAAAGTGATACATTTGTCATCGGTATACTTCATAATATATATATAGTTCGATCCAAAAACGGCAAGACACTACTAAATATGCAGTTAAATTATAATACCTTATATATATTGAAACCTATAAATGACTACAGAATTTGATCCAATAAGGACAATAACCAAAACATGTTAATATCAAAACCCTTGAACTTAATTAAAATATATTAAATAGGTACTGTGTCGACTGGTACCCGACTACTGGTACTCGAGACGGCGTGCGGTTTTTGGTCGGTTCGAGTCCGACATAATCACCCCGGTGGGTGCTATCCGAGGGGATTTCCGCACAGGAAAAAAAAGGTACTGTGTCGAACAAAGTGGAAGCAAGACTCCAATCGCGCAGTCGTTAGTGTTTTCAAAACTGTTAGCGATAGTTCTCGATTGGATCGTTCCGGTTCAGTCTGGTTCATTATACCCGTGGGAAAACCTACCTATTTGCCTTTCCAACTCAAAGAAACTAATACTACAAGTAGAACCTTAGTTTGTTTTTGTAGATATTGTTCGTTGGGGATTAGATTTAAGCATGTACCTATATGGTACTTAAAAATTTTGATTCATTGTTTCATTCGTCCTTCAAAAACACTCAAATTTGTCTCCATATACAATAAACAGGAACAACACAGCAACAACAGTACAATAAGCAGAAACTATGAAATTTGTAAGCCGACACGAACTAATACGGTTTGGCATTAACATTATGCCGAGTATTTTTAAGTTCCGAGTTGTTTAATGAAATAAATAAATAAATATTCATAGTGAACTGTACGAAGATGCAGTTCAAAACCAATACAAAAGCTACTATTCAATCTTAATCATTTAGAAACAGAAAAGTTGCTAGAGGTAGTGACGTAATTTGTGGTAATAAAGACATTATAAACAAGCACACACACTTATACACACGCGCTCACACACGCACACACACACACACACACACACACACACACACACACATACACACACACGCACACATACGTACACTTGCATACATATATAAATATCCACGCTCAAACACAGCATTGACAACATTACTCCAGGCACCCAATATTGAAGTTACATTCAATACTGGGGGGCTGGAGCTCTAAAATACAGGCCAAGACTTAGTTTAAACTGCAGATTACCAACAAATTACCAATTAAACCATTTGCCAACTTCAATATTAAGACTTGTGTAATTTGTGGAGATAGATAAAAATCTTTATATACTTTATATACATATTATTTACATTTTTAAACACTTTAAAATAAAAAATTTAAAAAATACATATTTCAAAATATAAAAAATAGTAGACTCCAAAGATAGGAACCTCCTCACTATACGAGCCGTGTCAAGGAGGACTGCCTTCTGCATCAGACCCTTGATCCAGCCGTCCAACGTGAGCCTCTTAAGGTGTTGGTTGAGGCTCTCAACTATCAATCCGTGAGCAGATACGACTATCGGAACAATGATCACTGAACCAACATTCCACATATCAACAATCGACAAAATAAATACTTGTCATATCGACATATATGTAATATATTATTAGTATTTTCAATCGAAAATATATTATTATTATTTATTACGATTATTGAAATATGAAATATAATATGAAATATTGAAACCTTCTTTTTTGCAAACGTAGAAGAACCTTGTTTAGGCAAAAATGAGCCGGCTCGACCCTCCGGCCGAATACTACGTGGCATTGACACAAAAAACCGGTGTTAAGCAAATCTCAAAGATTTATTAAAACCATTTTGACTGTGTTATTTATTGTTGAGGTTAGTAAATTTTTTATTTGACATTTCCTATTTTAGGCATTTTTTCAAGACGTTCAAGAAAGTAATTATACGAGTAGACTACGTAGAGTAACTTAAGGTTTCTTTGTGTCTACCTAAAATACATTTACATTAATACCATAACTAAATTTTAATTACAATTCTTAGTCTAGTGTTTAGTCTTGTAACAACAAAATCAACAATTTAAAATTAAGTTACATAGTTTGGACGTATTTACTAACAAATTATAATAGACATTGTTGAAAGGTATTTTAAGTACTGAATAATATTGTTAACTGAGCCCTACATGACGTCCATCAAGCCACTATACCCGTTTAGGAGCTTGAAAATACGAAGAACAGAGGATTTTCAAACTCGTAATAGTCTCGCGCAGAAGGTGTTGAAGAATTTATTTTATTTTTAGATACATTTTCATCATCAGCAGCCCCTAATAGTCCACTGCTGGACATGGGCGTCTCCTTAGAAAGTAGTTTTAAGCCTACTGTGCCACGCCGGCCAGACGGGTTTTATATAGGGTTTATGTCAAGTTTTACTTCCCTTTTTATTGCTATTGTATTGCGTAGTTTGCTACCTTGGTCGGTTCTTACGACATTCACAGGATGAATAGGGATGGTGACACTCTGTATTTTTAATCCGTCACCACACGGATATATTTGTCCATGTAAAATATAAGTTAACAGTAATTCCAGTTTTCATTGGCAGCCCTGCCTCACTCTCTATCTTACTCAAAATTTATAAAGTAAATAAAATTAACTGATAAATTTATTTATAAAACTCTCTTTAAAAAAACAGACAACTCCTGCATTAGGAATATATCCTGTGTTTACAAACATACATGAAACGGACACAAAGAACACCCAGACTCAGAACAACAATTTGTTGATCACACAAAGTGTCGTCCTAAGTAGGGATCAGACCCACAACACTCAGCGTAGTAGTAAGCGGCGTAGCGACCGCTTAAACCACTACGCATCAGTGCAGAATATAAAGTGGTTATCGCTGCTGACTGACTGCTGCAAACTCGGAGAAAGGAAAAAGAATTCTGTCATATCTTGTAGTTATATTATTCTACCATAAACCATAATTATATGTGTAGCAAAAAATCCCAATGCATATAGAATTGGACGGGCATGTTCAGTAGAAACACAACAGAGGCTTTAATTAAAACATCGCGTTATGCCCTTCCGTCCAATCAGGGGTGGTCGAAAAGTTGCCCACTCATCGCCCCGCCAATATCGACAATACCCATTACCAATTCCCTGCGTAGGGTTGTGTTAAACAATACTGTTATATTTTTTCTGTGCCGAAAAAATAATTGCAGTAAAACTTCTGCTAAAAAAAAAATGCAATTATTATTTATTCATGTACAATCAAAAGTTGCTTTTCTAATTTTCTCATAGTCATTAGCACCTTTGCTCTGTAATTAAACGTGCTATACCAGATCAGACCATGCCACTCTACTGAAGTAATATACATACATACATATAACATAATTATTGCTCAATGAAGTACTAAGAACTGATTTAAGCATACAGTCTCAACACTCATTAGGTAAAGTTAGTATAAAAAAAGGAACAGCAATTCATTCTCATAAATATAAAATATTTCGTTTTCAACGTTGACAACCCTAACTCAAAGCAATACCAATAATGACCTATGCACGTTAATAGTTAACGCATTGTACGGACTGTACTAGCCCTTGAGTCGGAGACCTAATGATACCCGTAATACTACACGACACGACATCTTTCGCTATCGTCGCGTGTGTGGGATAACTTTGAAAGAGTTATTTGGAACAAAAATTAAATCATTTTTAAAAAGATTTTTTGCACAGTATATTTAAATGTTCTTTTTTCTATAAATAGAGTGATGTTGTCGAAAGCAGTGTTAGTTACAAAATATATTTAGCAAAGCATTGAATAATTAGAAAATATAATACAATACATTTAATTTTTTTGGCAATTTGCATGCAAACCAAACATTTTTTTATATTTAAATTATTATTTACTTAAATAACGGTAAGAATAATTAAAAAAAAGTCCGTGTGGTGACGGATTAAGAATACGGAATGTCACCACCCCTATTCATGCCGTGGGTGTCGTGAGAGCCGACTAAGGGAGCAAACTACGCAGGACAACAGCACAAACAAACAAACAAACAAACAAACTAACTTGAAACAACCCGTATATCAACCCGTCTGGCGAGCGTGGTATAGTAGGCCAGAACCTCCTTTCTAAGGAGAGGCCTATGTCCAGCAGTGGACTGTTATAGGCTGTTGATGATGATGTGTATACTTCATTATAAATTTTTGTTGTTGTCAGACGTGTCGGCGTCGTGTCGTATAGAGTAAGAACGTATTTACAAGAATTTATATTAACGTATGCGGGAAACGATTTATCTCTGATTATACACGCATAGGCTCATGATGAGTATAATATTTCTGTCGCACCCTCTGTTTGGGTATATCAGAAAATGACACGTCATCGGATCACGTCAATGAGAATAAATCAATGAAGCGGACCGACCTCACTTCCAAAATTGATCGTTTTTCTGCGATAATTTAAAAGTTTTTTGATTAAGCACAAAGCTGTTACTCGATATGGTGATTTAACTTTCCCCTTTAAAATATAACCTTCTTGTTGAATTTTGTATGTTCCATAAAAACTTTTTTGGTTTAAGAAGAATATTAATAACTTCACACATCTCACACACTGCCGTCTGATCCCAAACTACGCAGAGCCTGTACTATGATAATCAGACCGCTGATAAACATACTTATATATTCCTAAATACATACATAAAATAGATAAATTGCAATAAGATAAGAAAAATTAGACAATTATTTGTCCTGCGTGGGAATCGAATCCAGGTTCTGACTTAGCGGACAGGATCACTTACCACTATAGCATAAGGCCCGTTACAGCGATTAGTCATTCATTTATGTATTTTCTTTGTCACCAGGGCAAGGCTAAGCGAGAATCGTCACTGGAAGAGCTAAGACGGCACATACACAAATTTTACATCCCCCTTGCGCGACAGTTCATCGTACTGTTCCCTGAAGGAGGCTTTTTGCACAAGCGGAGAGAAATCAGTCACAGGTAAAGTAGTCATTTACTTTTATATCTTCTAGTAATTTAGACATCTGTAAATATTAGATATAATAAGCAGTACGATCGTGGGACTACACTCATACTGCTAACACCATATTATCGCGATACAGGGTTAGCAGTTATCTCGTAGTTAGGTGTTTCTTCGTTAGATGGCGCTGTATTATACTTTTGTTTCTCTGTCTGTGGAAGTCGCCACAGCCATTGCAATTAATATAAGAATAATGCACTTAAACATCAAGCGTCATATTCTTTAATTCTTTGGAAAAGTAGGATATAATGATGTATCTTAAAGAATGAATTTAGTCATGCACATTAAGAGTTTAAAAGAAATTATCTGTTTCAAATAATCGAGCAGTGGGAAATAATAACCACAATAAATCAACAAATAATGAACTGACAAAACACGCCTTTTTTTTGTTAACGGTGTGGAAGATCCTCATGGATATCCTTCACCCATTTCGAGGGGGAGGTAAAAGAGTCTGTTGGACTCTTACCGACTAAAAACCGCCGCGGTGTTCCTCTGCTTGCTAATACGCATGAGAGCGAGCTAGTAATATGTCTTTCTCCTATTTTAAGGTTATTTCAATTCATATTATTTTATCCAGGTTTGCAGAGAAAAACAACCTGCCGAAATTAGAGTACGTATCATTACCACGCGCCGGTGCTATGAAGGTGATAATGGAGGAGATAGGCCCCACCACTAACCACGGTGCTGGTACTTCTAAAGAAGAGAACGCCAAAAAAGGTAAGTAATAATCGAGTGAGGCTTTTGGAGGGTTAATAAAATTTTGAACAATGCTGTGTGATCTATAATCCATGTGCCATATGATATAGTATTTATTTCTTTTGATTTCTTTTCTTTATTTCAAAAAGACAGCTCCTGCATTAGGAATATATCCTGTGTCGCGGGGGACTTTACAAACATACTTGAAACGGACACAAAGAACACCCAGACTGAGAACAATAATTTGTGGATCACACAAAGTGTCTTTTTTTATATATGTCGGTAAGAATACGGAATGTCACTACTCCAATTCATTCCGCGGGTGTCGTAAAAGCCGACTAAGGCAAAAAGACGCAGGACACCAGCACTGCAAAAAGAAGGAAAACTTGACACAAACCCCTATACCAAGCCGTCTGGCCAGCGTGGTATAGTAGGCCAAAACCTTCTTCCTAAGGAGAGGCCTATGTCCAGCCAGCCTTTAATAGCCTATGGACTATTAAAGGCTGTCGATGTGAAAAAGTGTTGTCCCATGTGGGGATCGGACCCACAACTCTCAGCGTAGTAGTGAGCGGCGTGGCGACCGCTTAAACCACTACGCCATCCGTGCAGTCAATACGAGTATATACGAGTTCATAGTTACACTCGTATAGAACATGTTATCGATAACTGTTTTAGAAATATTTGTAAATATTTTAATTAATGGTCTACCGCACGGGTGGCGTAGTGTTTTAAGCGGTCACCTCGCCGTTTTCTACTGCGCAGAGAGTTGTGGGTTCGCTGTCCACATGGAACAACACTTTGTGTGGTCCACGAATTATTGTTCTGAGTCTGGGTGTTATTTGTTACGCCGAACATCATGGATTAAGATATAATAAAAATATTTATGTTTATAAATAAGATAAGGATTGTTAGATGATTGGAATATTTGTCCACGGATTGAACTCAAATTGAGACAACGACAACGCAAAACATGGCAGGGTACAGCTACTGCCTATGGCTTATTTCAGAATATCTTCTTCGTTTGTAACATACTAGCTGACCCTGACAACGTTGTTTTGCTATTTACATTATTTAATTATTATTTTTTTGAATTTCTTAAAATCCGTTCTTAGCTGACCTCTACTCGGTGAAAAGAATATTCCTACCAAATTTCAAGTCTTTAGCTCTAATGGTTCCAGAGATATCGTGATGAGTGACTATATACGTGGAAATCTCTTATATATATATATAGATTTGTATCATATTTTCAATTTCAAAATAAAGTTATGGTTCTCCTTTATGCATAAATATATACTCGTACACCTGCATATTCCTTTTGTAAAAATAATGAGTACTTTAATATGTATATTATTATTCTAATTACTGCCTTTATTATGCGACACGTAAATATGACTGCACGTTTATATTTTACTTTAGAAATTGTTTTTTTTTTTTATTTAATGTATCCAATATGTGTTCTAACTAATAAAATAAAGCATAATAAAATTCTAAATTAAATAAGTTTAAATTTAGAGTTTTACCTCTATTAATTTAATGCAGCAGTTTTTTCAACGTTAATATTTTAGTAATTGTACCTCCGGCCGGCCTCGGGGTGGTTTTTAGTGCACTCACCACATCCTCCTGGCTCCTGAGTTCTTGGTTTTTCCACCCCGTCAACAAAAAAATAGGGGGTGTTGCATATGTCCCTCTTGCAAAAGCAGTGTGAACGCTTTCAGTGTAATTTATTCTGTTTACACATGCCTAAGGGAATCTAGAAATTCGCATGTGTCTACGTAATTAGCTTTTACCGACAGTGGTGAACTAAATGTATATATTATGAAGATTTTCATATATACCCATTAGAATAAAAAGCAAAATGAATGATTTGAATTCTTATATGACAGCCATGTTCGAAGGCTAATGCTTCTTGTGGAAAAGTTCACTTAAAGCTACCATCGTGAGAAGCTGAGCAGTTGGTAACTGGCCGTGGGTAGCTTTATCGTTTTGTGTCTATAGTTTATCGGTATACGAAACTATAATTTCTTTGAACCTGATTGGTTAGGGGGCGGTGCTCGATCGATACGTCACTATTTTCTTAACGTGAATTGACTATAATAACTCATTAAAGGAACCGTCCGTGAAAACCTAAGTGCCATAACATTCATTTACATAGGTTATTGTTTACCCCTATATATCTCCTATTTCCTACCTACCTTTTTTTTTCACGCTGGGAATTCTTTTCGTACCATACCCTCTGTTGAAACGCAGGGCGTTTGTGGGACTCCCGGAGAACCGGTCTACCCACTAAACCCCACGGCGGCACACCACACACACACACCTCGGCAATCGGGAAGAGCTCCAGGACCGTATCGGTGGCTTCTGGAGTCCTTCCTGCCAGACCCCATATCTGAGGCACATCCCGGGGTGACCGTAGTCACCTTAGGGTAGGAGACTGCCGCGCTTCTCACTGTTCTATACAGTAAGATCCGCAACTCTGTGGAGTCTGTCATCTGAATCCGCCAGAGTGTCATCCGTTTCGGGTCGTTTGCAGTGGCCACATGGCCCCAAGATGTGGCCACAGATCATTAGGTGGCGATTAGGGAGCTAGTGACCTCTTCCACATCCCATTCGCCGCCTCCTTTGAGCGGGATCGGCCCACTCTCGATCCCGATCTGCGGCCTCTTTCTGAAACATAACGTCCTCCTATCCGTCCGCTGCCCATCCCTCGCCACTCGGCGGTGACAGGCTTCATTCGATCTGTCCGACCAAGACTCGACGTTCGGACTCCCATGCAAGGCGGTCCTCCAGAATGTGCTGAGCGGAGTCCAACCCATTCGCTGAATGATACGAACAAATAATTCTTGACATGAACTCCTTACTGTGGCTTACATAATTATAATTGACAGAGCAGTTGGTCTAGTAGTTAGTTGTTATCCTGACTGTTAAGCGATTCGATTCCCCATTCATTCACCCAGGAAAAATAATTGTGTGATGAGCACGATCATTTGTTCTGTGTGTTTATGTTTGTGTATGGGTGTAATTTATCTATAACATGTATGTGTTTAGAAACATATAAGTATATTTATCAGCAGTCTGGTTACTATAGTACAGGCTCTGCCTAGTTTAGGATCAGACGGCCGTGTGTGAGATGTGTTATATATTTATGCCTAAGAATCATTCATAAATTCACATTCTAGTATCGTTTCACTATGAGTGGCAATAAATATTCAGTTTAGTTAATTCTTGGTCTTGCTGCACCTGTTTTGCACCTTATTGCAATGCAGGTGTCTATTATTATTATTAAACTTATAAAATTTATCGCAATTATATTAAGAATAAAATGATCTTTTACATCCAAACTCACATATGTTTAATATATATGTATGATTTAAGGAGTCTCTTTGACAATAAAAGTGTGCCATCTATCTATGTTTATTCTTGTCCTAAGACCTTAATTCCTATCCTCCATCCCTTTTTTAGATCCTGATGAAAGTACTCAACTTGTTCGTCGTGATGAGAGCCAAGATATACAGGAAACCGGTTTCAATAAAGGTAGGGTATTTTCTCGTTCGTAATACATCGAAAAATGAGTCTAGACATTTTTCTTGTAAAACACAACAAAACAAAATAGATAAATCTTTGGTATTCCTTTTTTTGAATTTAGGTTTGAAGTTTTAATAATTTGTTACGTTCGTTTCATAACCAAACTCGTAAGTTATAATTCCTACCAAAAAATATAAACAATCTTCAATTATCAATATGTGTTTGAAGTCTATTAACAAAAAAAAACAATATGTCTATAACATGGAGTAGTAGAAGTTTTCTCATAATGAGTTAAAATTATGGCATTTCTAAAAAACTTTCCTAAAAACACTACGAATTAGGAAAGAAATCTTTATGGGTTGTTATTTTAAATCATACTTGAAATACTTCATCTTTAATCCATTAATCATAGTAAATCAATAAATAATAAAGTTGAAGTTGAAATTGTTCATATTTTTATATGCTTGTAATGGATCAACTCAAAAAGTAATATACTGTTACGAATGGGGTATATAATAAATAAAAGTTATCGGATAATTACTTTAATTGCACTGTATTTACTCATTTTAACAAACAAGAAATCACTATATAACTCGTTAGTCGCACTTAATTCGCTGTGTCGTAAAACGATATTGTATCGAACGGCCAACACGCTCCGCTTTTATATCGCTATCGAATTTCCTAGAAAGATCCCTAGTATTCGAAAGTCCGTTCCAGACAAATGAGAATATTCCAGCATCGGTTAAGCGTTACTTGCAGCGCGATCTAGCGCTGTAAAGTATCAGAATTTTTAATCGCCATCTCAATAGTTGTACTTTACTCGATAGTAGATGGCGCTGTCCTCCACATTCCATACAATTCTGGAACAATCGAACCATTTATACTTTACATTAATTTCACGGACTATTAGTGCAACACAAACTTGATATTACATTATTAAAAAAATGCTCTACATGTTTGTGATACTTATTATTACACGTGATATCCCATCATTCCGCGCGGGGGGGGGGGGGGGGGGGGGATCTTTTTAGTTACAGGTGTCCATGGGCGGTGATAGTTACTTACCATCATCTTACCCCTATACCATAAAATAGAACTGTGAGGGTGATGGTGCTATTTGGTAAAAGTTATTGAGAAGGACTTCTGTAATACCTGTAGCAAATCATAAAACTTTGACAGTGACAATTAAAAATACCGTAAATTGTTACGTCTGTAAGCCGTGGACTTTCACGAACAAATTACTACTCTAAATTGCACCCCTCTAAAGCAAGGCTGGGTCGCTAGTTACAGAACATTGTTGCTATCTCTCTGATTCCAATTTTGAACCTTGTTGCAATGAATGCACACAAATCAGCAGCAGCAATATACTACAATTAATGTTCTATGTTTGAAGGAACACTTATGTTGTAGTCAATAAATAGAATCTTGATTTTATTCTGGTCTGTGTAAGTGTCAAAACACTTATGTTGTTTAGAATAGATTCCGTTATTATCTATTAAACATTTAAAAAAGGATAATGATTAAGAACCAAACCGCTTCACAAATATCTTGTCCGTTAGAATAGATTTCGTTATTATTAGTTAACATTTTAGGATAATTAGAACCACCGCGCATATGTTTTATATAAGTCCAGAACCTCTTAGGCTCTGATTTCAGAGTGTTTGCGGTCGTTTGTATGTACTTATCAAAACACTCTTTTTGTACATTACGTTGCCTAGAACGCAACATTGCAAACTCATCGTAGTCCAAAAGGTTTCCATATTTTTTCCAACGCGAATGTGCCTTACTCTTTTGTTTTATAATTTTTATAAGTGAATTACTATACCAAATGGGATAATTGCGTTTGCCATGTCTACAACACCGTGGTACATACTTATCAATACCAATATGTAACACCTTATAAAAGGTGTCAACAGCTTCATTAACAGGTACAACGTTTAACAGTGGCTGCCAATCAATATCCCTATAGTAACTATTTAATGCTAAGAAATCAGCTTTACGGTAATTAAATTTGGGGGAGGGCAACTCTTTAAACGGGGAAACTGATAAATCAAAAACTTCGATGTTAAATACAGGATGAGCCGCATCAGGTTTGGATATGGGGGATAAACACTCATTGAGCTCAAGGGGCAAGTTACAGAATACTAGATCTAATGTGTTCCCTTTATAGTTGTGGAGAGTGTTGTATTGTGTCAAGCCGTGAAGGTACAACGTTTCAACTAATCGCCTGCCAGCAAGTTGGACCTCTACAGCACCCTGTTTTTTAAATATAGGCGTACTGGTGTTGCCAATCGATGCAAGGGATGTTAAAATCTCCCGCAAGCATGTAATTACAGTTTTGAGTTACGCCAGTAAGTATGTTTGTCACGCATCTAAGAACACACTCAATATGACAACCATGTTCGAAGGCTTATGGCTAATGCTTCTTGTGGAAAAGTTCACTTAAAGCTACCATCGTGAGAAGCTGAGCAGTAGGTAACTGGCCGTGGGTAGCTTTATCATTTTGTGTCTATAGTTTATTCACGTTAAGGAAATAGGAACACATCGGTATACGAAACTATAATTTCTTTGAACCTGATTGGTTAGGGGGCGGTGCTCGATCGAAACGTCACTATTTTCTTAACGTGAATTGACTATAATAACTCATTAAAGGAACCGTTCGTGAAAACCTAAGTGCCATAACATTCATTTACATAAGTTATTGTTTACCCCTATATATCTCCTATTTCCTACCTACCTTTTTTTTTACGCTGGGAAAGCTTTTCGTACCCTACCCATCGTTGGTCTAGTAGTTAGTTGTTATCCTGACTGTTAAGCCAGGTGTCGTTCGATTCCCCATTCATTCACCCAGGAAAAATAATTGTGTGATGAGCACGATCATTTGTTGTGTGTAAATGTTTGTGTATGGGTGTAATTTATCTATAACATGTATGTATTTAGAAACATATAAGTATATTTATCAGCAGTCTGGTTACTATAGTACAGGCTCTGCCTAGTTTAGGATCAGACAGATCAGATCAGATCGGCCGAAGTTATTATTATTAAACTTATAAAATTTATCGCAATTATATCAATAATAAAATTATCCTTTACATCCAAACTCACATATATTTAATATATGTGTGTATATGTATGATTTAAGGAGTCTCTTGGACAATAAAAGTGTGCCATCTGTCTATGTTTATCCTTGTCCTAAGACCTTAATTCCTATCCTCCATCCCTTTTTAGATCCTGATGAAAGTACTCAACTTGTTCGTCGTGATGAGAGCCAAGATATACAGGAAACCGCTTTCAATAAAGGTAGGGTATTTTCTCGTTCGTAATACATCGAAAAATGAGTCTAGACATTTTTCTTGTAAAACACAACAAAACAAAATAGATAAATCTTTGGTATTCCTTTTTTTGAATTTAGGTTTGAAGTTTTAATAATTTGTTACGTTCGTTTCATAACCAAACTCGTAAGTTATAATTCCTACCAAAAAATATAAACAATCTTCAATTATCAATATGTGTTTGAAGTCTATTAACAAAAAAAAACAATATGTCTATAACATGGAGTAGTAGAAGTTTTCTCATAATGAGTTAAAATTATGGCATTTCTAAAAAACTTTCCTAAAAACACTACGAATTAGGAAAGAAATCTTTATGGGTTGTTATTTTAAATCATACTTGAAATACTTCATCTTTAATCCATTAATCATAGTAAATCAATAAATAATAAAGTTGAAGTTGAAATTGTTCATATTTTTATATGCTTGTAATGGATCAACTCAAAAAGTAATATACTGTTACGAATGGGGTATATAATAAATAAAAGTTATCGGATAATTACTTTAATTGCACTGTATTTACTCATTTTAACAAACAAGAAATCACTATATAACTCGTTAGTCGCACTTAATTCGCTGTGTCGTAAAACGATATTGTATCGAACGGCCAACACGCTCCGCTTTTATATCGCTATCGAATTTCCTAGAAAGATCCCTAGTATTCGAAAGTCCGTTCCAGACAAATGAGAATATTCCAGCATCGGTTAAGCGTTACTTGCAGCGCGATCTAGCGCTGTAAAGTATCAGAATTTTTAATCGCCATCTCAATAGTTGTACTTTACTCGATAGTAGATGGCGCTGTCCTCCACATTCCATACAATTCTGGAACAATCGAACCATTTATACTTTACATTAATTTCACGGACTATTAGTGCAACACAAACTTGATATTACATTATTAAAAAAATGCTCTACATGTTTGTGATACTTATTATTACACGTGATATCCCATCATTCCGCGCGGGGGGGGGGGGGGGGGGGATCTTTTTAGTTACAGGTGTCCATGGGCGGTGATAGTTACTTACCATCATCTTACCCCTATACCATAAAATAGAACTGTGAGGGTGATGGTGCTATTTGGTAAAAGTTATTGAGAAGGACTTCTGTAATACCTGTAGCAAATCATAAAACTTTGACAGTGACAATTAAAAATACCGTAAATTGTTACGTCTGTAAGCCGTGGACTTTCACGAACAAATTACTACTCTAAATTGCACCCCTCTAAAGCAAGGCTGGGTCGCTAGTTACAGAACATTGTTGCTATCTCTCTGATTCCAATTTTGAACCTTGTTGCAATGAATGCACACAAATCAGCAGCAGCAATATACTACAATTAATGTTCTATGTTTGAAGGAACACTTATGTTGTAGTCAATAAATAGAATCTTGATTTTATTCTTCTTGGTCGTGGTGTAATATAAGGTAGTCCACCACATTTTTACTTAATAATTGTCTCGTTTCCACTTAAAACAAGTTTAAATAGTCTAGCCTCTAGACGATACAAGTATACACAACTGCATTTGTGTGAGCATAGTTTTAGTTAATAAAAAGGAGACTTTTGTTTACGACAGAACAAAATTTGACAACAATGCAATCGTGGACCTCAATGGAGAAAGCAGCAGAGGCGCCGGTCACCTTTAAATGACATTGTTTATACTCTATAAGCCTATGCTTATCCGTGGAGAGTTAAAGATGATCATCATCAACAGCCTTTAGTAGTCCACTGCTGGACATAAGCCTCTCCTTAGATAGGAGGTTTTGGCCTATATACTACGCTGGCCAGACGGATTGGTATAGGGTTTGTGTCAAGTTATCCTTCTCTTTGCAGTGCTTTTGTCCTGCGTAATTTGCTCTATTAGTCGGCTCTTACGACACCCATGGAATAAATAGGGGTGGTGACACTCCGTATTCTTTATCCGTCATCACACGAACAAAGACGATAATGACGATGAACTGAGTAAACAGTTCCATCTCTCTTTGTAGTTATGACAGAAACATATCTTGAATATGACATGATTGAACTAATAAATATTATTCTATACAAGTTCAATAAAGTAAAGTTTACTCTCTAAGACAAGTCAATTTATTGTGTACGTCTGGCAGCAAAAACAGTAGATTGAAGAGGGTGCACGAATTCAGTCACTTTTTTTCACTACGTACATAATTATCAGAAATGCAACACTTAATTTATTAGTTGTAAGGTGTCGTCTGCATTTTAAACCTGACAGTGATTTTAAGTTACACATTTAATCCGTAATACTACATCATCTAAGTTATTTAAAAAACTTTTTGCTTAATTTAAACGATTGTATTTATTCTGCAGAAAACAATCTCAGCCAAAACAACTCTAAAACGAGCATGCAAGTCAAAGTCGGGGACAGCATCGAGTGGGTTCTGGACGTGACCATCGCTTACCCTAACAGGATTCCTCTGCATCTGGTAGACGTCGTGTGTGGAATCCGACCACCCTGCACCACACATCTACATTACAGACTATATCCCAGTTCCGAGGTTAGTAACTGGTGATGGATAGACATTTTTACATTAGATTTTTTTATAGAAAGCTAAGCAATTTTTTACCTGAAAGTAAGTTCTTGTAATCCCGTAAAAAGGTACGTTGAAAATGTGAGAAAATACAGTGAAGTCCTCTAATAGCTACGCAGTAAGAATGCAGTTGCAAAACTAAAACTTGATGAATTGTTTCTTTTTTAACATAAAGCAAACAGCTCGATTAAATAAGGTTGAATCATAAGGAAACGGGTGGTTATAGATTGACATAGACCAACACAGATCGTTTGTTTTCCTAAAACAAAGCTTTTATTGCAGTAACTTAGTGTTGATCCATAACTTTGATGATTAAAAAAGGATAATGGAAGATTTGTGAAATGAAAATATTGTATGTATTTGGATTTGAAATATGTTATTTTCCACAGGTACCCACCGACAATGAAGGCATGACCCAATGGTTGTACGACAGATTCATAGAAAAAGATAAAATGCTAGAAGAATTCTATGCCACAGGAAAGTTTCCACCTCAGGGTAACAATTCCACTGTAGCTAGGCAAGTCAGACAGGATAATCTTAGATACTTCATACTCCACCTTTTCTTCTTAATGTCGACTTACCTACAATACCTGATATTTTCAGTGGTTTTTAGGCTTTTTTGGTAACAATATGTAGAGGAAACAGAATTTTCTCAGACCTGTTGACCTGTGTTGATCAATGGATGGATTCAAATGTTCTTCATTTTTTTTCTTAAAATATTTAATGTATTTTTAATGTCTTTTATAACAAAAATATCAAGATTCGCGCTTTTGGCGTTCTGCATGTAATGCGAAGTTGCTGAAAACAAGAATTTATTTTGTAGTATATTTGTTTTTTTTAGTGTTTTTATTTTCATTATTACAAGTCAAAGTAAAGCCACACAAAAACATTCTACTACGTTGCTATCTCTAATATATATATACACACTAAAACTGTTGTTTTTTCGCGAATATGCTATAAATAACAAATTCACACATTTTGTCCTATATTATCGTGTACACTAAGTTTTGAGTATCGCTTCTATACACTTCGAGTCCTTGCCATTGAAAATCGCCCTTAAAATATTTGATAACTGTACACACTATAAATAATTACACTTATAATTGCTAGACACTTGTTTTTACGTTTCAAGTGCTTAGCTGTTCTTTTTAAATTTTAGCATTAAATAATACATTTCTTTGGTTGAATCAGGGTACCTTCATAACATAAATTTGTCAATAACTCCCTAAATGATTACACCTAGATAGCCATCCATTTTTTAACAAATAAGTAAGTACTTTATTTCAAGGTCTGGTCACAATTTTTGTTTGGAATGATTTGGATATTGACTGTTATACTTGCAATTACGTCATAAAGGTATCGCTTTATTTTATAAGTGATTAATGATGTACTCCGCAATCACTAAAAGATTTTTTATCTCAATCTACTCATAGTTTATGTATTTAAAGTACTTTAATTTTAAAACTGAGTTACATACCAGATATAAGAATTTTTTAAACATCATTTATCTTGGTTTCACAACAGTCAGTATTCAAAATGAGAATTAGCCTCATATTCAAAAGGTGCATGGCAGAAGTACATTTTTTTTATATTATTTTAATTACTTAGTATAGAATTTACTTTATTAGTTTTTTTTTAGTTTTTAATAAACATGCGTGAGGTTACCTCGAGTTTTGACATATTGAGTTTCGCTCAATTGTTTCGTGCCCTGGGCACTCTTAATGAAGATCAATAGGCACTTCCTGATAGTGAGAGGGCATTCGCCCACCTTTAAATTAATTAGAAATTGTATCAAATGTTTTTTAATCGATTTAAAGTTGGACCAGCAAACTCTAGTACGAAACAAAACAAGCATAGTATCAAAGAACTTCAAATTAAACAGGTTCTTCTGTGCACTAGGTTGTGCATGATTAATGCCTAGAAACAAATAGATGAGATCCTGACACTGGATTACAAGAAACATCTTTCTGCCACTTGTACTAAATTACCATTAAGCACAATTGGAGTTCTTTACAGAAGATTACATCCGTTAAGTTGGAAATTCGTATTGGAGAAGAGGCGTGAACGTATGCGATGTTAAATTTAAAATTGTTATCAAAACGCGCTGTGACATACAAGTCAATATTTAAGTAAAGATATCTTAGCAGAGTACTCGTGCTTTGCAATGAACCAAAATTAAAATCCTTTGTGACAATAAAAAAAAAGAAAAATAGACGAATTTTCACCTTCACTTTTTATCACGTTCCGCGTTCTGCTTAATCAGATACTTTCGCTTCGAACTTAAAATACAAAATCTAATTTTCTACAAAGAATTCTCGAGTCAATTCGTGGCAAGAATTCTAAATAATATTTTAAATAGCAAACGCTGTTCGCTCGCCGTTTACGACAAAAAATCACGGAAATATCCAGATCGAAAAATCTAAAAATTCTTCAGGAACAATTTTCATTAGATTATGATCATTACGACTATGGAAATCAGAATGATTTTTCTGTCTGGAAACCAAAATTTAGTTTACTCGAAAATGTTCGAACAGCGGTTAAGATTCTTTTTTCAATGTCTAAATTAGTTGTAAGTTGATGTATGTATAACAATAGTGTAAGATTCACGTTTATGTTTGAACTAAAATGTGAGCATTGTTCCTTTTAGTTGATAGCTATTGTACAGGATTACTCAAAATATAACAATATGAAAGTCAAAGTATGTGTTTTGTGGTAAAATTGTACAACTTAATGAATATGCCAAAACATATTTGCCGTAAGTGCCTAGGCTTATATTGGTGTAGTTTATCATTGTAAAAAATTATATAAACATGTACATACATCCTTGAATATCTCAGGTAATGTAATTGACAGATATTGGTAACGAATTCTGATTTTTTTGTTTTGTGTAACCAAATGAGCTACTAATAACATTCTAAATGAAAATAGTATTATAGCATGTAGTTTTTATAACAAAGTTACATATAAAAACAGATTTTTTTGACCTGTATCTAGATAGACAGGAGTCAATCCAACGGAGTTCCTTTTTGCCATGTCCAAAAATGTGCCTTTATTACCTTTTTTCATTTAAATAAACATTTTTATCGAATTCATTTAATTAATCATTAGTATTCATATTTGTACTAATAATTCATAAATATTATTCGTGATTATTTTGTGATATACAAATGCGAAATTTCCTTGTTGAATGTTTTATCAACTTTATGTCATGTTTATCATATCAACTAAAAATACTTTAGGGTTAATTAAAAGTGTAACATTAAATCACAATTTGAACAAGTCTAATTAAAGTAATAGAGGTCTCAGAAAAATAATTAAAATTAATTAAAATGCATAATAAACAGGTAATTATATGTAAGTTATTTAAATAGCACACTTCGACACAGATTTTTAAATTTAAAGTTATTTCGTTGATTCCTAATTTTGATATAAAATTTATTCAATGTAAATACTTAAAATTCTTGAATTCAAAATTTAAACAGTTATGCTGCATTTTAAACACTTATACTGCTACAAGTCTGGGTTTAAAGTGTATCACAGTTTAAACTAATTGGCACTATTATACATGATATATTTTACAGTGTTTCGTACAACCATAAAGCCAAATACATAGATTTTAAATGCAAAGAATAAATAAAAATGAGTTTTTTTTAAAGCACCTCAGACTCTACATATCGTTATGGTTCCAATATAGAATATTAATTAGTACATTACAGATTATTCAAATATCACACTTTTTGAAATATTATATTATTAAATACTATATTTGTTCATTGTGAATACATCCTACAGCAATTTACTAAAGATAATATTGTATGTCAGCACGAAAAATTTAATAATTTAGGAATAGCTGGAAATAAATAAATTTTCGTTTTTTTTAATTGTAAGTATTTTTAATGTAAAAATCTTGAATAAGTTGTTTATTATCGACATGACTAGTCGTGATATTATTAACACTTTCCTTGAGGTTTCTTTTTTCTTTAATGTCAATGCATATTGTCGACGATAATATCATGAAATGCTCTGAAAATGGTTTACCCATTTTTGATTGCAGAATACATACTTGAATTATTGTTAGTAGGATAGAAGGGTGATAGCCATATTTATTCTTGAGCACAAATATCATACTTGTATTTTTAATTTCACAATATTTCTTCAGATTTAGATTTTAGCTTATGACAAAATTACGTGTCTATATGTATAGTATGTATGTAGTCTAGTGGTTAGTGACCCTGACTGCTAAGTCGGCGGTCGCGGTTTCGATTCCCACCCTGGACAAATAATTGAGCGCGGTCATTTGTTTTGTGTCTCGATGTAATTTATCTATAATATGTATGTATTTAAAAATATATAAGTATGTTTATCAGCAGTCTGGTTACCATAGCACAGGTTCTGCCTAGTTTGGGATCAGACGGCTGTGTGTGAGATGTGTGAGCTATATTATTATTATTATTATTAATTAAAAAGTAGGTACAACTATATGCGTAAGATTTGAAATTAAATTCAAATTGTTGTTCAAGATTTATATTGGTTCAAAAGAATCTATTTTCTACGTTAAAGTGTCCGTAAACACGACATTTTTTAATAACTATACCTAGCTTTATTTCAAAATTAATTTAAAATTAACGTAATACCATAATTTCAAATTTGATTGTGCCCATATATCACCACTTCATTAGGTACTTCACTTATTATGAACTATTTTAAATTTACATTTAAAAAAATGTACATGTATCAATGAATAGGCTAATCATGAAATAGGCTATAACGGAGCTTCAAATGTTAAACTGGAAAACATGGGAATAAGTAAACGCAATATAAGCAACTACACAAAGACAAATAAACAAAAAGCAGCACTGCTTTCTAAATGTAATATTTGTAGGGAACTTTTTATAATGGTTTTATAAAATACGCCAAATCTAAGTCGACTAGTCTGGGGTCTGATTGGAATGGAATACAAGCAGGAATTTGTTATATTTAAGATCCCAAAGCGAGATTTAAGTGATGTTAGATAAGATTTTAAAATTTAAATTTGTGAAACAACCATTTCAAATTGCCAATTTAATAAAATTGGCAAAATACAAAATTTATTCTGAATTGTATTCTGAATAAAATAATAAAGTTTTTAGTTATATGGGATACTTGGGTTAATGTGATTATTTTTTAAGGTAGGCAAATGTTGTTGTTTCTTTTTTTTTAACGAGTTAAGTTTGATTTTTGTAGAAATGATATGAAATTGCGAGTAGCAAAATTTGTGATGCTTATCGTGTTAATAATAATTTTCCTCGCTTTTTCTGCTAACCACTAATTTTTTTCATTACTTAGTAGTTTTATTACGTGTAAAAGAAAGGTGGTAATATGGCAGCAGTCCCTAAAGTGAGTGAGATAGGATAAGCTGTATTCCAAGTATTTTGATGTGTACACAAAGTATGATTTTTTTTGCCAATGTATACGAAAATTTATATCAACAAATTGTGTAACAGCTACTCTTTAAGTTGAAATGATTTTGGAATACCAAATTGTATAAATGATATATATGTCACAGTACATAATAATTGTAGTGAGTTGTAAAATGTGAGATTGAAAAATTATTCCAAATCTGATTTCCATAGTCGTAAAATTCTAGTTCGTAAAATTATTCAAAAAAAATGGAATACTTTTTCAATCAGAATTTTTGTTTGTGTTTTACAATTTATTAATTTTTCGATGTGAAAATGTCGATATCAAAATTAGTTTATTGAATTTTAAATGTACCGAATTATTTCATTGTCTTAACCTGTGGTTTTTATAAGTGTCATTAAAGTAACTGTACTTTGTGTATTGGTCAATTGTTTCGGGATTCAATTCATTATTACAATGATTCTACTAATTTTTGCAACAAAAGACATATCTTCATACGTCGGAATATGGAAAAGTATCTACAATTAATTTGAACTCTGTTTTTTTTAACACGAAATAAGAGTGATTTTTGGGGCTACGCGAATGGAACTAAACTATTTTTTTTCCTAAGTCTTCAGTAATAAAATTACTCTGTTTGGAGTACTTTGTAGATAGACAATTAACGGTCAAATTCAATGAAGTGTGGCTAAAGAAGCGCTAGGGATGTATCAAACAATATTTTGCGTAATACGCCTCATTTTCTTAAAATATAACCATAAACAAATCACATCTATTAATCATGCAATACGAATTGTGTGTTCATTATCCCGAAACATGAATGAATTTTATTAATAAATAAATGATAGTATGCATATGTGTAAATAATAATACAAATACACCCGAAAATACAACCGAATCTAACGTAAATCTCTACCAATTTGATATTAATTTGAGCTACTCACATATTTATTATTAGTGATTTGAATCTAAAATATTGAAGTCAATTTTATTACGCATATTTACATTTAATAAATATTTGTCTACTGTTTGTGGCATGGATGTTTTCATATTTAAACTGTAAAACAAATTTAGTTGAATAACTAACGATAATGAATATGCAGTTTATGTAGGTTCACACAAATTTAATGATGTTTTTAAATTCTTCATGCATAAAAGCTTGTATGTACTTATTTTTTACAAGTAATCTTAATAAAATAAATTAATCCGTATTGTGTAAAACATTGCCCATATAGCATTTAAACTAATCTTATTTACCAATTATCAATGCGTAAGTTTGATTTTTGTAACTTAATAATTGGATATCTGGATGAAATTTGACACAGATACTTTATAGCCTGGACAAATAGGTATATATTATTATAGGTATATATTGCGTACAGTTTGAAATTACAAATCTACAGTGATATAAAAACAATAAAACTTTATGTCACAGTACCGGCCTCAACTAGCTCAGTCAACTGTCATCGAAGGTCATAAAGTTATGAGTCAAAATGGGACTCTCAGTATGGGTACAATATACTA